GGGACTTTCTGACTAGCAGGCCCCGGACTGTCAGGATTGGCAATAGGACTTCAGCCAGCATTATCACGAACACTGGCACCCCATATGGTTTAGCCTGTTTAGCCACGACTGTGTCGCCTCCCACAAAGACAACATCATCCTGAAGTTCGCGGACGACACCGCAGTGCTAGGTTGCTTCACTCGCGGGGACGAAGCAGCCTACAGGAGGGAGGTGGCCGGTCTGGTGTCATGGTGCAAGGACAATAATCTCAGCCTCAACACAGACAAGACGAAGGAGATGATAGTGGACATGAGGAAGGAGGGGATCTCATCGGCCACTGTTCATCCGGGGGCTCGAAGTGGAGAGGGTGAGCAGCTTCAAATACCTGGGCGTCCACATCAGTGAGGACCTCACTTGGACACATAACACCACACAGCTGGTCAAGAAGGCCCAGTGGCGGCTGTACTTCCTGAGGAGGTTTCGCATGCCACCTAGGATCCTTTGCAACTTCTACATCTGCATTGTAGAGCATCTTGACCAGCTGCATGAAATGCAGGACTTCTAGACTGAAAAACTTTCTTTCCAACTGCCATCAGACTCCTATACAGCTGATTCAGAATCTGCCTCATTTAATCCATCTGTACTGTTTACACATTCATTTTGCACATGCATAATTGCACACTGACTGCTGAGCATTTGCACTTCATGGCTCCCATGTAGCATATATTGTCTCTGCATTATATTGTGTTCTTGTTGTATTTTTATTTGCTTTCTTCACTTGCTGCTTTAAAGTGCCTTAGATTTGTGATTTTACTGCCTATTTAGATTTGTTATTGCTCATCTACTTTATATTTCACTTGTTTTATGTGGCATTCATGTGGACAGCAAAGTAAGAATTTCATTGTACAGGGTGTAGGATATGGTTCGTGTTACCATTGCTAACTCTGAGAGACGAGCCAGTCCAAGTAACTTCAAAACAGTGCTGATTTATTCAAAGGATCACAGGTAAAATTAACATTACACGCTCAAGTATCTTGCACCTCCAAACTGCACGCAGGCAGATGTAAGATGAAAGACCCTGAGCCCACCAGGCCTATACATTATATCCCCTCAGTTGGGCTAGCCCCATACTACACAGAAACATCAACCGGGACGTCTCTGTTACCAGCTTTGCAGCTGACCCTAGCAGTAGTCAAAACATGAAGCAAATCAACGTGTGAATGTGTATGTCTGTTGGTTAAGTGATGTGTAACTAAAAACATTCTCACGACCTCTAGTACATGTCGTGGCTTAAACATAAGAACATATTATGGCTAAGGCTACAGTTATACATGTCGTAATAATAATATTAAACACCCTGTCTGCTGACAGTCATCAACTCTTCTCTCTAGTATCCTTGACCAGATGTACCCTGTAGAAACTCATAAGCAGGCCTAAGCATTTAACAGTCTAACTGGACATCCTCTCTCCACTAACATTTCTAATACATAAAGTATCTATCCAATATCTATCTGGCTAAAAATACCTAACAAGGGAAACACGTTTCCTAACTGTGCATATGACAAATGAACACTCTGACCTAACAGTATCTTACCCTCATGGTTATGTTACTTTTGATGGAGAAATACATCCACTCAAATTTATTTGATAATGATAGTTTAGGAGGTACAGTGGTTCATCCATTAGTCACAGGATTCAATCCCATGCTCCACCTGCCCACAAGGCGAAGTATCCTAGAGCAAGACACTAAATCCCAAGTTTATTCTGATGGCCAGGCCAGTGCCACATGTTCCACTCGAGTAAAGGGTAAACAGAGATAAATTGTAAGCTGTTTTGTCGAGTGAAGTAGCAAAGCATACTCTGGGACTTTGCTTTGTTGACTTGGTTGATTGCTACACAATTAGCCAAATATGAGCAAATATAATGATAATAATGATGCAATAAAAACATAAGAACTATTTTGTATCCATATTTTTTATTTTAACAGTAGACACAGAATAGAAATGACTCTAAAAGTAAATACAACAGTTATAAAAAAAATCATGTTCATTAAAATAGCTGGATACTAACAGAGTATTATCTCAAGGGTACATACAGTACAGTATATATGGTAGATGGCCTATGCTGAATACAGTTGAAAACAGAAAAACAGTTGAATACTTCATTAAAACTAATAAATGTTAATATCTACAATGAAATGTAGTTAATAATTAAAATGGGCCCTAGATGTAGTATGCAGGGTTTGAGTAAAGCATATAGGGATTGAGTTTACGGTCTGTTGAGGCAAAGCTGTTGTTCTCATGGGCCTGGCGGCGGTAGTACCTGCGCAGGGCAGGACTGCCAGGGTGGCACTGTCTTACATGGAGGAAGTACTCATCAGGGCGGCTTGAAGTGTAACCACAATCCTCACACACAAAGATTTTGGAGCGTCTCTGGCGATAGGCATATTGTTGGTGAACACCATGAATCTTCCTCATATGGGACTCCAGAGAGCAACGCTGTGTGAAGGCTTTCTCACACAGCTCACACTTATAGGGACGGATGCCTGGAACAGGGGAAACAAAACAGGGTTTTATTCCTGTACATGCTTATTTGGATGCACTTGTACATTCAGTTTGGTATTAGTGGCTTTCCAGGTGGGGGACAAATCTTGCCACAGAGCCCGCTGCTGTCATGTAAATAAATGTCAGCAAATGTAAACCTGGAGACAAAAAAAAAAGAGATGTCTGAAAAAAATTACAAGGATGTGGTTGTAAATCAGTTTAAAAACTTTCACAGTAACATTTAGTAGTCTGATGGTGAATTTGTTTCTCAGGGGCTGTCTATTACATCTTTGTTCTTGATTCCACTATTGATTTTAGGTTAGGGTTTATAAGCTGTGATAGAGAGTACAGTTTGAAATACTTGTACATTATTAGAGTTTTTTTTACTGGAATATTTAAATTACAAAGTAAAACTTTATCATGCACATATAAAATATAACAAGCAGGAGAACCACCAATATTCAATATATATAACATATTCACACTCCAAAAAGGACAAAGGCATGGTTGCAGTTTTCTCAAATTTTTGGTTTCACTAAAACAAAAAGAATTCTTCAAGAGCAGACAGGCAACACATGATCACCTTCATGAAGAAAAGATTTATTGCAGTATTGTATTAGACTGCATTAGGTTTATCTAGGTGTACCTAATAAACTGCCATCTGAGTTTAATTCTTCTCAGGAACTGTGCATGCATGATCAAAGCTCATTCCAGACCTGTGTGTGTTCGCATATGTCTCTTGAGGTCGAAGGTGTCATTGAATCCTTTGCCACAGAATCGACAAGGATGTCTCTTCACCAGGCTGTGACACTTCAGGTGGCGGGTCAACATGCGCTGGAGAGGGAACACCTTGTGGCAGACTGAGCACACAAAGTCTCCTGAGCCTGGGGAAGTACGTGGACGGGGCTGGTAGGGAGAGATAAGATCAGAAAAATGCTTAATAAAGAGAAAATGATCCGCCTATTTTTGTCACTGCTCTCTTCAACAGTTATTACATGTTCATATGATAGCCCAGTATACTGAATCCTGTTTGACCTATAGTTATGCTCTGCAGTGGGTATCAGGCAGGAAACATCATTTCTCATCTCATTTTCTATACCACTTAGTCCTGAATGAGGTCACAGGGGGCTGGAGCCAATCCCAGCCGGCACTGGGCAAAAGGCTGGGTACATCCTGGACAGGTCGCTGGTCCATCGCAGGGCCAACATGCAGACAAACAACCACACACCCACACTCCTAAGGGGCAATTTAGAGTCACCAATCAACCTAAGCCGCATGTCTTTGGACAGTGGGAGGAAGCCGGAGTACCAGGAGAGAACCCATGTAAGCACGAGGAGAACATGCAAACTCCGCACAGAAGGGTCGCAAACCCGGAACGTTCTCGCTGTGAGGCAACGGCGCTACCCACTGTGCCTCCGTGCTGCCCGCAGGAAACATCACTCCTGAATAAAACATACTTTTAAGCTTCTTTTAGATCCTATATTCACTTAAGCACATACGAGTCTGACTTTGCCTCATATATATTGTACATTGAATCTTTTCAGGCTGAACTACAGTTGCTGGCCCAACTGGCTCTATATAGCTGAATATCAAGGCCCACTCAGTTGAACAACCAGCATCACTGATTCCACTACTTTCACCAGCAGTAGTTAGCAACCCCTCTAGTGTGAGAAACTTTTCATAAATCCCTTAACCTGTTTAACCAAAGAGCAAAAGAACATGCAGACAAGTCAGGTCATTAGGTAGACAATTTTTCAATAGCTTAGCAACACAAAGAAGGCTCAGAGGTTTGTTCCAGTGTGTCAGATCCAAAACACTCAGCAAACATCATCAGCTAACACAACAAGCTAAATCACTTGTTGCTATCACCAGCCCACTAAATTTAATACGTATATATCGGTGAATTTTGGGCGGAACCTTTGACGGACTGCTGTTTCTTGCGGTAAACCGTACTCATTTCCTGCTTTCTGTATTTGCACTGCGTTGTGCTTGCTTCCAGATTGTTTAGGAATTAAACATACGCTTGCACCACTTAAAGCACTTGTTTTGCAGAGGTTCTTGCTAACTACCAAATTTAACTTGCTACTTTAGGTCGGCTAGTTTAGAAGCTAGCTAAGCTAGTAGCTTAATCGAGAGCAATGGCTTCCCCCTCTTCCTCTCCTCCTTTCTCTTGCTCGGAGTGTCACATGTTCAGTTATTCCTCTGCCTCCTTTAGCGATAATGGTACTTGTAATAAATGTCAGATGCTAGCAGCATTG